AATTTCTTCAATGCTGTATTTGAATGGTATTTTATAAAATTATGGCTTTAGAGAAAGTGGCGGGTATGAGAAGAATTCTAACAGTGTTTCACATGACTATTGCAACAACTGAAAAGTTTTATTGTCTATTTTAGGGCACTCACATTTGTGATTTTTTTTTGCTACTAAAGAATAATGTTGACTGTGTAATAAGAGACATTGTATTATATTTGTGGGAAAAGTGAGACAGATGATGGTAATGCCACAAGTATTTGAATCATAAGTGATTTTCTTTCAAGCAACAGCCAAGGTCTGTTGTCAAAAGCCGCATCATCCTGTGATGATGAATTCTTAATCTTTGACTTTCATTCGTATCCTTTCTTTTTGAACCAGAGCCTCATCTTGAAGCTTATGGAATGTGAATACAAAATGCTTATTTTTAAAACCCAGGACGCTATGTTTTCTGTGATTTCTGAACTTCAACTGTTATTACTGTTTAAAAGGATTATGGGAAATGATTTTCTCTTTTCTACTGTAAAGCAGAGAATCGATGAGGATATATTCTATGACAAAGTCCCATCAGTATAACTAAATAAAACCTCCATATTTAGGAATTTTCTTCTATATGGTGGCCACATTTTGAAATAATAACTAAAAATATCAAAAGCAGAAACGAAGTTTATATTATGAAACAAAGCTTCACATTTAATAATTTCTTGGCCTATGTTTGCTAATTATTTTATATAAAATTGTTTGACAGTACATTTTTTATAGCTGCTTAGAATTATAACTTTACTAGAAATTTGTGTCTACTGAAAGAACTGGATTATATGGGTGAACAAATTTGGGAAGCTTTCTCTTGAGAAAAGTCCAGAAAGTTATCTGAGAATTTTGAACCCCTTGGAGAAATATCAAAGATGCACAATATGAAGGGTTTTTTTTTTTTTCAAAATTTTTAGCTTAAATTAGGAGAATCCTAATTTATTATATTGGTACAATAATACACACCTACTTATTGATGCATTTTATTTTGGAGCCTTCATAATAGTGTGGAGACAAAGCACAGCTTCTTTTTCTTATGTCAAATATTTACAAACGTACCTAAAGGCAAGAGTTGATGCAGAAATTAAACTCACATCAGGTTTAAGATGCTGTGAGACGCCTTCAGTCAATGGCCTCTAAGATACCAGCCCACTTTGGGTGTGGTTTCACACGCATAAGTGCAGATGAAAGGCATGAGTGGGCCTCTTGACCTCTGGTTCCATTTTCCAGGGCACGCAAAGGACTGTGGACTCTTTCTGTGAGTTTATCTCCAGATCAATAAACCTCTCTTATACTCCATTCTGGGATATTGTGGACCTCTTTTGTACACCAACAAAATGGCACAAAAACATGGGGCAACTACATCCCCATAAAACCTGCGAGAGCTTGGGAAGGAATTCTAGACATAAAAGAACAGAGTTAAGCACAGCTTCTTGGTAGCAGCACAGTCTTGGATGGACTCTGCTTTCTAGAGACAAGCAGAGGCAAGATTTCCCTAAGAAAAGGTTTACTGACTCAGAGTTAGCAGCAAAACCCAGCATGGCTTCAATAAGAAACAGCTCTGGTTCGTACTGGCACTGGTAGCATGAACACAGCTGGCTCTTTTGGGAGGTCCTGCACTGAAATGGGGTCCATAAGCAGCATGTGAAAAATTGCTTAAAGGCAACATAGACCTACTGTGTCCCTGAAGCTGGGGCGGTGGGCATGGCTCACAGAGGTGGTGAACATTTCTCTATGGTATTGGACTGAGCAGAGCAAGCAGGCAGGACTGGAGTTGGTCTTCAATGTGACAAGGCGAGCCATTTGGGCAAGAAACTGATCTTGCCTGGACTGCTTGAGGGCATGCTGTATGAACTGGACATGCGGAACCCACAGAAAAGTGACTGCTGGACTTTCCAAAAGATGGAATGGTCCTTCAGGGTTCCTACTTCACAGAAGAAACTGCCAGACATTCCGCAGGACACAGAAGAAAATGAGTGACAAACTGCCAATATAGGCAAAACAGTCTGTCAAATTTCCTGTTTCATGGAAAAGTCTGCCAGATACTATGGGGTTCTTGCTTCAAAAGTTTATCAGAAATTCTTCAGGACACAGTAAAAAGTGACTGAAAAACTGCCAATATAGGCGGAACTGTCTTTGCTATTTCCTGCTTTATGGAAAAGTCTGCCAGATACTATGGGCCTGTAGGCTGAAGACGGATGCCCCAATGTTATCCGTCTTTGGTGACCGTCCAGGCAGCGAGATGTCTCTGTCAATTCTAGAATTTTGGAAGTTGCTTACAACGCATTTCCTGCTTACTTAGGTAATATTATATCCTTCTGGAGGCTTTGATGGAGTTGAAGAAAGTTAGGTATAAAAAATAAATTAGATATAAAACTTTAGACTCACAAAGATAGGACAGATGATAAATTTGCCAAATGTAAATGGACTAAATATTGTAACTGTAATAATTGTTTGATTACTGTTTTGTATATGTAATTTTACTATGCTTAAGTTAAAACCTTCCTTTTTATTTAGATGAAAAAGAGAAGATGGTGCGGTATGTCCTTCTGTATAAATGTTGCTTTTATTTGTTAATGAAAAAACTGCTTTGGCATGAGTAACACCTCTCAACATGCTGCCACAGGTTTCTCTTAGAGACTCCTCTTTTCTTTTTGACACATGTATGTCTGTGCATCGCATGCATAGCTGGTGCATGTTGGGGGGGGCAGCAGACAGTGTCAGGTTCTCTGCAACTAGAGTTATGGAATGTTATGAATTTTAAAAGATGAACCTGGTTCCTCTGTAAATGTGGTCCATGCTCCTAACTACAGAGCCATCATTCTAGACCCTCCTGGAGTTGACTCAGAGAAGAGCTGGCTATGTGTCTCCACATAAGGGGGAGAGTCAGCATCTCTAGCTATAATAAGAAACACACGAGAGCTCCATTTCTGAATCTACCTTGTTCTGTGAGGTGTATATACCAAACAATATAAACAGAATATTTTAAAGTAATATATTTTTTAAAAAACTTCATTTCAACAAATAAAACATGAAGCTTAAAGAGTTTATCCAACTTAGTCCAACCGAATTTATTGTGAGAATTAGCACTCTTGTCCATCCTTGGCTCTCCAGTCTTCATTCTGTTTCTGGAGTAGTCTCATGGTTTGAGTGTACACAGCTGAAAATGTGCAATGTCAGTTTTCTTCAATTTAGACTGCCTTATTAGGTTTCAAACAAACTACATAATATTGATATTTTTCCAAATATAGAGTAAATAACCCATTTGCTATTTCAATATCAGGAACACCCCACATAATGCTTCAATATTAGTCTACTCTATATTACCGTATCTTTTGTTGTATGAGTTTCTATTTCAAATAGCTGATCAAAATTAATATGGTTCCTCTACCCAATGGCATTTATTTTGGTTATAAGATTAGAAATGTAAATTTGCAATAAAAGGAGAAAATAGGAGCCTGGTTTTAATGAATATTTTACACATGACTAATTAACAGAATCCCCTACAGGAATTTGGAAGTAATAAGGAATTGACTGAAAATAAATTAAAAATTAATAAAGGAGTCTCCAAACAACTTTGTTTATGAACATTTAACAGTTGCCTTCTTAGTTATGAATATTTCAAGCTGTTTTGCTATTCTGCATGTATTATTCTTGTAGTGTTCATAATTTTAGGGGTGATTAGACAAAAGGGGACTAACACACGAAACAAAGTGTCTTAAAATGATAAAAAATCTACCTTGGGAAACCTTGCTAATGTGAAAATAATGGCTTAATATTCCTGTTTTTTTCTCCTAACAATATATGCTAAACAGCCTGATTCTATATAAGGATGAAAACTCCTTGGAAGGAACAGAAGGACAGCCAGGAGTTTCACTTCTGAGAACAATGTGAATTCTTTTACAAAACACGTCTTTGAGTAGAAAACAATTTGCTGTTTGTGAAATATTGAGAGAATTGCTTAAGTGATGTAGATCCACTCTCATTGTTGTAAATGCCATCCCATGTGCAATGTTATTAAGTCACATTTCTTACGGTGTGTTTGATCTTACTTTATTCTAGTATCTGAATATTTGTGGGTGACTTTTCCTCAGAGTTTTCCAACTAAAGGCCTAAGTTGGAAGACTTTAGTTCCAACATGTCAACAGAAAATAAAAACAGAATTTTATTTCTTCTCAGAATTAAATGGAGGAACCAAAAAGATCAAGTAGCAATTATTTCTTTTACTCATCTCCTTCCAATGAAAATAGAAAATGCTGAGTGATATCAAATGTAGTGTGAATATAAAGGGTGAGGTGTCTTCAGATAAATGTGCTATATAAGGACAAAACGGAAATACGATTTTCAGATGCACAGAAAGTGTTATCTTGATTCCTGTGGACACAGGACATTTTGAATATTTGATTTTGGGTTCATAAATGATGAGCACATCTCAACAATATCATTCAGGAAGCAATTTGAAGTTTTCTCAAGGACAGAACATAAATTTCCTACACCATTGAAATCTATCCGTACTTAAAACTCAGATGTAACAGAAATATTATTCCGGAAAATTTTTATAGAGAAGTAATAGATATGTGAATTTTTGTAACCCTAAAGCATAGCAGGAGGAATGAACTAGACCCTCAAAGACACACATGCTATTTTTCTTCAACATTCTTCCCAAACTCGAATCCACAACAGGGTTTTCAATGCTCTGAAAACACTGGAATACTTTTAACAAGAAATACCTCTTAATTAATCCACAAGTTTTAGACCCAAATTTCTCTGTAAATGCCCTCAACTTCCTCTTTCCTATCATTTACGCTCCATCCATCTGGGAGACAAATGCTCCGCTGCTTTTCAACAACACACCCATAGATTCAGGAGTAAAATCCGTGTCAGCAAATGCAGCTTGTATTTCTTCCTGCGATTTGGGTTCTCCACAGATAGGGCCCATAGCTTCCTGAGCCAGAAGGAAGAAAGAAAAACCATGGGTGCGGTGCTGTGCTCAGTGGATGGTGTTCGTTTGGTTGGAAAAGAAGGACTTGGCCGAATGGAAAGGAGAGAAGGTGAGATAAGAAAGGGGGAGACAGGAAGAGTCTTTGTCCCTCGGTTGATGTTAATGGCCGTTGAATGACTTACGAAGAGGTCCTTATAAATACACTCTTTCAAACTGATTTAGTATGGTTTGGTTCATCTTTTTCATCAGCCAGAACAGAATCCAGCGTGAAGCTACAACACAGTTTTCTTGTTGGCCCCGTTTCTTGTTCCTCTCCATCATTTTTCTTTTATGTTCACTTCTGTAATCCTCAATCTACAGTCATAATTTTTATTTTTTATTGCATTTCAAGATTTATTCTTAATTATTTGTATACCTGTTTGTCTGAGTGAGCTGCTAGAATCCTCTGGAGCTGAAGTTAAAGCCTGCTATGAGCCACCAGAAGTAGATGCTGGGAACCAAGCTTGGGTCCTCAGAAGGGATAGTATATGCTCTTAAATGCTAGTCTGTCTGTGCAGTTCTGAGAGCTGTAAATATTAAAAACTTTAGAAAATTGTGCATGACAGGTAGCAGGTAATGATTATGTGCCCCATATTCTCAACAATATTCATTATAAAATTACCCTGTGCCCTTTAAAAAATAGCAGTCATTTTTTTTTTAAATTTTGAGTTCATCTGAAAATTTTATAGCATGGTACGATCTGTATCTATGTTAAATATTTGGATATGATGATTATTACTACTATCATTGGTATGGAAACAGTTACAATATTTATTTTGATTTGAAATTATTTTGAGCTTTGAAGCATGATTGTTCAGTTGTATTAGTTGGTTCATAATATCATCTAAGTAAGATAAAAAGTGGGATGCTCTGGAATTACAGTTTTTTGATTGTTTTGTATTTCATGTTACTCACTGTAGAAATTTCATACAAGTACGTTATGAAATTTCCCATTCTTTAAAGCAAGCAACAACATAGAAGTAGATGTGTGGGTGTGCATATGTGTGAAATTTGCTTCAAAGGTAAATGATGCCTCTGCCTCTAAATTGAGAAGTGGTTTGTCAGTGTTCATTATTGTTAATTCTTTATTCTTATCATTTTTAGAAGTTAATGTCCTAGCAAGCGGTTTCTTCCTAGGTATTTAAATGACACCATTCCTTAAAAATTTTAATGTTTTTTTTTCTCTAATAGATCTGGAATAAAAGAATGATATAAAAACAAAATTGGTGTCTAGAATTCTGGTTGCATTTTCTACATGCAAGTTAGTTCAGTGATTATGTGCAACTTAGGCTAAGCAGAGGCTCTGGTTTCCCCAGTACTGCCATGAGGAATACCATTGTTTTTGTTTAAAAACATCGCCTACTGCAACAACTGTGCAATATCGTGGCATAAAAGAACCACATCATTTTACATGCCATTTCTCTAAGAGTTCTACAGAATTAGGAACTACAAAGGGATTTCCCTGAAACCAATGAAAAGCATCCTGTTTCTATGATTTTGGAATTTGTTTTCCAAGTGTTGACAATTGAATAAATAGCATTTCAATTTATCCAGACATTGTAAAGGAGCCAGACAACTAATGGATTTTCCTTTGCCTTTAACAATACACTAATGATTTCTTAGGAAGCCTGCTTCCAGATAGGGTGGTATTTGATGACAGTAACAGCTAGTCTAGACATGCCCAAGTATCCTACAGTGTTTATGTTTTAAAAGGACTGTTAAATGCCCTCAGCTAGACTGTTAGAACATTTCAATGCATTTCAACTAATTTATTTATAAATCTGATACATTTAACAGGTATATACTTATTTTATTTCAAAGCATAACATGTAAATTAGTTTTTTAATTACCAATTAGTAGAATGCCATTTATGAGATGCTGCATGTTGGAAATTAAACTATATGATTTTTTAAAAAATGCTAGTGATAATAAGCATGAATTCATCTGGTTATCACAGTTTCTTTAAACAAATGGATTTCTTATTCTCAGAAAAATTATACAAGTAGCTCTGTAAGATACGTCAGTATATATTAGTTGTTAAAATTGTGTTATTTCCATGTATCTTCTTGAGAGAGTGGCATATATGGGTGGTAAGTACTAGGTGTTAACTCTGTGGTAAGCAATGTTTTTGACATCAACTTTCAGAAGTCTGCAAATATAACAATGTGTTGCTTCTCATTCTACCTGATAATTCTTTGAAACATGACATTTTATAATCAGTGACAAAACTGACAATTAAAATAGTGAAAATTTCCCCAGAAATATTCATTGAATATTTGTATTGCATAAATTAAAGTTTCTACTTGATTGAGTTAAAACTCATTGTGTTTCACTAAGAAAATATTCATAAAGCCTCTATCATGGGCTGTAAAGCTTTGTAAATTACATAGACGAGCCAGGGATGACTTTGTTCTCCTCCAGATCACCTCTGTTAGTCAAGAGGGATGACAGAAAATAAAACCATAACCAAACAAAAGAACTTATTGGGTAAAGCAGTCAAAAAGACGTCATGAATTATGAGTAGCGACATACTTAAAAAATCCATCTTTATTCCCAACAAAATGTCATCATTGTTCAAAGTGGCAAAGCTTATATTTCATTGTTTTAAATTTTGTTACACTTGTTTTTTCATTTATGTTTATGTGTGCTCACATGCCCATGTGTGCCTGGCAGAGTCAATTCTGTTTCTACCATGTAGTTTCCAGGGAGAGAAACTCAGGCAGCTCATGCTTTTACCCACTGAGCTATCTCAAAAGTTGTATTTCTAAGAGTCTCCTGGAATAATGATGGCTAAATAAGAAAACTTTCAATAATAAAATATAAGAAGATCCATAAATTTTGGAAGAATTTTGCATGTAGTCCATTTTTTGGAACATAGCAATTGTGCAAGACATATGATCATGAGAAAAGTTTAAGAACCTCCCTGAGCTAAAAGGAAAACCCTCTCCTCTTGTCTAAACACTCAATATTCCTAAGAAAAGTCAAATTCTGAGTCAGATGAACTGTTACTAGGAGTTGTATCTTAAAAGCACAGCGTGTTGACATTCATTTATGAATGAAAACAAACACATCTAAAATCTAAAATATGAATACTATCTGAAAATTTAAAAATATAACAAAATATAAATGGAATCTTGAAATCCACATATAAAGTAAAATTCTATTAATATTTTTTCACAAAACATGAATTAACAACTTTAAGTTATTGTATGTTACCTTGTGTGGCTGCTATATTCTAATTAAAGTAGATTTATATTCTTAAGTTTCAAAGAAACTTAAGCTGACAGATGAGTTGACATTGAGTGAGTAAAACAACTGAATTTATTATTAAAATTTTATAGGACTTTATTTTAGAAGTAACTGACTCTATCTTATAACCATTAGTGTGATCTTAATGAAAATTTGCAACCGTCAGACAAAATAGAACTATTGATGATGTCTGAATTTTGAAGCAAAACATATTGTGTTCCATTAACATTTGAAAACCTGAGCTGAATTACCAAATCTTGTAAGCATTAGTTTATTATAATTATTATCTAGTAGTTGAGCTAAAATTAATGTTCTTTGCAAATTATGCATATTATTATTTAGCTTTTAATATGAAGTGTGACCTTTTCCATCTTCCAAAGTAAATCTTTTAAGAAATGATTTATCAATGCAATTTGTTTTTAAATAAAAGTACATTTGTACAATGTTGTAAATTATTACGACTCAGAGTTTTTAATTAAAACTTGAAATATGTGTGGTTGGTGCTAAAAAAATAGTTCCAAGTTTCAATGAGAGAAGCTGCTTGCTAAAGATCTCTGAACAAGGTGGTGTGTGAAGGATAGGCTAGTGCTGGTTCTTGTGCTCAGTACGAGGATCTCATTTTCATGGAAAAGTCTTCTAATTTTGATGTGGAAAGGCAGAGGAACCTCATGCAAAATTATGGGAACTAAAGTGTTCAAATAAAAATATACATCTTGGGGTTGGAGAGACTGCTCAGTCATCCAGAGAGCCTGCTGGTCTTCCAGAGGCCCTGGGGTCAGCTTCCTACATGTAGGTGGAGTGTATGGGTGAGAAAGGCCTGTAACTCCGGGTGGTCCCAAACTCTCTCCAATTCCTTGCTGGTGCCTACACAGGTACCTGAAACCTTAGCCCCCCATACCACATATAAATAACTAAAAATTAAAAATTCATAGATCTGCCTCAGATACCCTGACAGTAGCTTCAAAAATACACGAATTTAAAGAGATTTATGTTTGGTTGATTTCATGTCCTAAAGTATAGTGAAGGGTACTGATTTTTCATGAACCCATCAGGGGAGGGGGGCAGGGTAGCCAGAAGTATTAATAGGACTTTGCAGCACAGGTCCCTGCAGGTAGCAGATCAACAGCTGGGGAACAGTTTGAATCGCAGATGCTTCCATGTTGGTAGAAGGCCTGTGGTGAAATTCATGGTTGTTTTACAAATAACAAGTCCGTTGCCATCCCAGCTGTGCGTGCTCAGGCTGCACACGATAGTGGAGGGGCCTGATGCCAAGTGCCTCGGAACTAAAGCAGGGGGTGCGCATGTGACACACGGCCTAGCTGGAAGACCTCCTCAAGCATCAGACTGATCAGCTGTCAATACTTAAAGCCAAGGTTCTTACTTAACATCACAGCCAACTAGCAGACTACCAGGGAGGAAAAGAAAGAAGCTTTTCTTTCTCCTCGGTTTAAATTCCCTCATTACCCTCCATAGCCTTACACCCCACATTTACTATGTGTGTGGCTTCCGAATATTTAAATATTCACAGATCCTCTGTCGTCTCTAGCCTCATCCCCAGGCAATTTGTTAAGGCTTAAAGTCGCAGGGTAGATTTTCTCCCCTGAATGGAGCTGTATGGAAACGAGGGTCTTGCCACTTTAGTGAGTCCAGTTAGAAATAACCAAACAGTCAGAAACTGGGATGATGCGGAGGTTCAGATGGGAATTCTGAATTTTCTGTTAACCCTTCCCCCTTCATGCAGAAAATGTGTGCTATAGTCTAGGTGTCGCTGCTGCCAGCTAGACAATTTACTAAAATGCAACCTCGCAGTTATCTTTTAAG